TCTATCTATCTATCTATCTATCTATCTATCTATCTATCTATCTATCTATCTATCTATCTATCTATCTATCTATCTATCTATCTATCTATCTATCTATCTCAATAAGCACAATGATAAAAGAACAATGGGAGCACCAAGTGATTTCAGGCCCTGAGAGATTATCTATTTCTAGTCACTGTATGGAAATCAGCTGGCCTGGGTGTGTGTTTGTGTGTATATGCATGTGTGTGTCCACCTGTGGGAATCTCAGCGTTTCCCATACCACTGACTAGGTGTGGTTGGGGCAGTCCCTCCCAGCAGAGCAGTGTGTGTGTTTGTCAGTGTCAGCGTGTAACCTCAGTACCTGCCCAGCAAACTGTTTACATGATAATTAAACGACCTCTGTGCTTGCAAACCTCACTGCTGTGTGTGTGTGCATGTGTGTGGTTGTGTGTGTGCTATTTTGGGCAGAAACATCATTTTAAACGTTTGCTTCCATGGAGATATCTTAAGGTTAAGCGATTAGGTTTCAGTTTCTGTTCAGTTTTTTCCTTTTCTGTGTGTGTGTGTGCGGATGCACATTTTAACTTCTCTGTGTGCTTGTTCTCTTCACAGGGGTTTTGGGAAGCAGGGATTTCAGTGTCAAGGTAGGACAATTAAATACACATGCACACATTATTTGTCACCGATCTACTGAATCTGAATTGAAAACTTTGTCACCCCTTCCTCTCTTCTGTTCAACTTTACCTTTTTCTTATTTCTGCCTGTCTCATCTTACAAGCTCCCTTTTTTCCATCTACCCTTTTCTCCTGGGTTTTCATTTTCCTTTCCTAGAGTAAGAGAAAATCCCAAGCTCTTGTTTGTGAAGGAAACGTCCACTGAAGAAAGTAACAGCAGTTTTTCATTGAAACAACAACAACAAAAAAACCCCCAAAAGAAAATAGGAACTTGGTAAAGATATAAGTGGTACAGTGCATTATATTTTTTGCACCATTTCCAAAGCTCATTTGTCAGGTAAAAACTAGCTCAACAGGCCGGCCAGCCTCCCTGGTGTGCAGCTAATCAAAGGCACAGCAGTCTAAAGTCCTAGTATGTTGGGATTTCATGAGAGCAAAGAATAACACCTCGACCCTTTGGGAGTAAAAATAAAATCTGATGAACAGAATAAGCGGGCAAAGATAATTTTGACATTTTAAAGTATGTCATCTTTGTTGAAAATGTCCAATTTTCTGTGTAAACAGAGCTGTAGACTTGGCTTCTCTTTTAAATAGAATAACCTAGAACTGTGTTTCTGCTTCTTCATTTCAGTGGGGAAAAGATATGTAGACTGCAGGAAGGTGATCTAGACTCATGAAATATGTGCTTGCAGACTCTCACCAGAAAAAAACAACCTTTTGTCACGTTTTGTCGTATGTCTGCATCAGAAAAAGTATGTAATTTTGTGCCATTTGACTTGTCACACTGGAAAAAAAACCCTCCTCAAAGCAAGAGAGTAATGAATTGGCCTTATTTACGACCTTCTATGTTGAGGTTGACATTTGAATTATATGCAAAAAAAAAAAGGCACTTTTCTTTCCTCTCTCATCCCTCCCTGCCAGTTTTGTCCCTCATCCTCACTTTGTCCGTCGTCTCCTAGTGTACTGTGGACAGACTCTGTGTCCGAGTTTGCAGCCTTTGCCACGGGAAATGATATAAACTACCACAGGAACGTGGCAAAAATGTGGAGGTGCTTTTTTGGCATTTATATTTTTCAATTTGTTTGAAGTCTGTGTTTTTTTTTTTTTTTTTTTTTCCACTGTATTAACTGCCAACTGGATGCTCAAGGATTTTCACGTCTCCTAGCAACAGTGAAACATTCAGACGCAGCCCTCTATATGCTGTGGGATGGAAGAGGTGTGCTTTAGCATAGCAGCAGGTTATCTGGTAATTGTCCCATGTGTGTATGTAACGGGTCAATATCATCCGTGCTGCTTGTTGGAAGAAATGTTGCACTGCAGGAGCCCCTAAACGCCTCTGGAGAGGAAGGAGTGTGTGTGCTGCAAACACCTGTGTGTCCTGATACCAGAGCTGGGAGGAGATTAGTGGCTAAATGGATGATTATAAAAGGAAAAGATTTATCTAATGGAAAATATCATGGATGTGTGTTGTTGTGAGTGAGAACTCATCGTTAGTTTGCACTTTCCTCCTTGGAAAAGTGTGTGGGTGTTTTTGTGTGTCCTGAGTTGCTCTCTGACCCTTTTGTCCGTCTGGAACAGGGTATCACTTCCTTAGAGCTCGGGGAGAAAGGGAATTCCTCCGCAAGGTCACACGCACTCATACACGCATGAAACACATCCGCTCACTGGCAGTGAGGTAAGGGATCAGTGTTTAGGTTGCCTCTTGCCCTTGCGTGGTTGTGCTTCTTTGACAGACGCGCAAAAACATGCAGTTTTAGGAGATTCAGAAGGAGAGAGCTCATGCGAATGAAGACAAGTATACCAGTCACAGTGACTACACGTTGTTTTTTTTTTTAGAGAAATGGCTTTTATGGCTCTCAAAGATAAATCACTATAGACCACAGTGGACAAGTTAGTTATAAGGACCCAGAATTGGCCCAGCAAAGACCCCAATAAAGCCCACAGGTTGGGTTTGGAAAATGTGAAAGAGGGCATAAATTTTGGATTTTTCCTGCCCATTAAAATATTCTAAGGAACTTGGAAAGAAAGGAATCCTCAAATTATTATGACCTGGATGACTGAAAACCTACACAGACCCATGAAAAGTAATTAAATTATGGATTTCTGTGATTTTACACATTGCTCCTTACAAATTAAGCTCAAAGAGTCATGCTGACACATTTATTTCATTTGCAACACCAGCATTTCTTTACTTTACCTGTTGAAATTCTTTGTCTTATATTAAATATCTCACTGATTAAAGGCGTAATTAAACATCTCACACTGACACTGGAGTTTCACCGGTGCGGCGCACATAAGAACAAAGCGGGCTTTATAAAAGGAGTTTGACATTCCCGGTCTACACGGTGTGTATGAATCGATCTCCTGCTTCCATTTTTATGACTGATCGCTGTGATTTTCTTTTTCTCCTCTCGACTCCTTTGTTCACCTGTTCCTCACCTCGTGATTCTCGTCTCACAGACTGTCTGACCTTTGAACATTTATCTCCATATGATATGGAGGGTTTGCAGATATTATATATGCCTGTTTATTGCTGCAAAGCAGATGGTCAGATGACAATCAAAGAATGAGAATAGAGAGTGTAGCTGGTTTTAAAGAACAGCAGGCAGTAGCTTGCGGTGGTATTTATGATAACGAAGGATGTGGTGTAGAGTCTGCGTCACAAATGATCAGATGTTTGGATGTTAGTTGGGGGGAGAGAAATGATATGCATCACTATCATTTCTCTCCCCCCATTAGCAAAGATAACTTTAAGTGCTTTTCGGCATTTAGCTGTTGTTTGTTGTTAACACATTATCAGAAGCGACTGGTTAGGGAAAGCTATCGTTAACAACATCAACTGGAACTGAAACTACCACCAGTGTTAGCACAAAGCTCCCTAAAAAATTCTCGACTCTCTTTTTTTGAGAACTGCATTTGAATGCCAATTCAATAAGATTTGCATTATTTGCCAAATAATGTTTATATTTAATCTCAGTCAGCATCGTAATACAGCACCACGTACTTACTGGACTGGTAGCACTGGTTGTGAGTGCAGTGCCAGTGCCAGTCTCAGCTGTCCTTTGTTGTGATGATAGTTGTGACATGTTTGTTGTCGGTGAGTGTGACGGCTGATTTAGACTTATGCTGTGAATTTTCTTGGGCCTACAGCATGACCTACTTGTGCTTGCGCTGGTGCATTACGTGTTACCAACCATGTGGTTGTGTCCTGGTGGTGCCAGCTATGATACAAATAAAATGCTGGGACTTTTTGTCCTCGTACCTCACATCCATTCTGATAGTTTTAGCAATCTCCTTCCAGGAATTTCTTGATATTTGTGAGCCCTTATATTAATCCTATGATTATTATAACTCATAAATTCAAAAACTGTGGTGTAAAAGTAGCCAGAAATGCACAGGAGTATGTCAGGTTACATCGTAGGTTACAGAGGGGTTTGAGGTTGCAATGTAGCTTTCCTGCTGAAGCATAAATCCCCAGGTAGGATTTCAGAGGGCTTGCAGGTTATAACCTACCTACGGTGTGGATTTACCACAGATGAATCCCCAGTAACACTGAGTAAATGCACTGAACATAGTTAAATACCACTGGGAGGCTCTGAAACCATAGACTGCATATAAGATATTCACACCCTCCAGGGGCCTGTACTATGAAACAGCATATCCTTTGTGAAATAAACAAAAGACATTTGTATAGTAAATATTGGAAACAAAGGAACCTTTCTGTCATTTAATTGTTTAACTATTACTTAATTACTTTATTATAGCATGAATGACACTGGGTGAAGTCTTTATCAGCAGGACAAAATTATAAAGTTCATAAAAATACAGTTAAAAGTTCCAAATTGTTGCCCCTCCTTCTCATTTTTCAACGCCGTCCAGTTTGACACCCTGCTCTAAATGCAGCTGCGGACAAAGAACTGAAAAAGAGCTGTGCAGGCAGCCAAAGGGGAAGTAAAGAACATATTTAAAAAATTAAAATGAGAAGTAGACAAAATGAGTTGCATATTTTATTTAAGGCCAGTAAGTGCAAAGGTTTGTTTTTCTCTGTTTTATGTCACTTTATAACTACATAAGCATGAAATGGTTTGGAAGTTATTTAATCTCTCAGTTATGGTAATGGCTTATCAGGAAAACCCAAAAGAGTTCAAATACTCTCTGTAAGCTACTGTCCTCTTCTGGGAATGCTGAAGTTATTTTCCATAGAGCAGATTAGTCAGTAGGTGGTAGTTTTGTGTATGCTGATCTCTTACCTGGAAGACAGGACTGATACCTCTACCGAAGCCACATTCACCCATTCACACAAGTGCTTTCTTCTTGTTAAAGCTTCTCAGTGCTTTCCTATGGAGGCATCGGATGCATTAGAGAGCTGGGGCAACTCGGGTTGCCCAAGGATATTTGGCTTGCAGGGATCGAACCACCAACCTTGCGTTTAGCAGATGACCTGCTCTACCTCCTGAGCTACAGTAACCCCTACTTTCACCTAAACCTGTCTGCTAAAGTTCGCTCATGTCTGAGTGATTTAAATTTCATCCTCAGATGGTGATCGTTAGTGTCTGTTGGGACGTCCAGGTACCTCATTTAGCCGACATCCTGCTTCACAGTCCAGGACTCTTGTCTGACAAGTGAATCCAATGCAAACATGCCTTAAACCTGTGGTCTTATTAATTAATTTCTATTAATAAATTAAATAAAACTTATTTATATGACTTAATGGTCAGCAGAGGGCGACTGCCATAGCTGCAAAAAGATGTACGTTATGTACGATTATTGGAAAATAACCTTAAATTCTCACCTAATTTATTGCCTTTGTACTCACTCGCCTTATGTGCTTATGATATAAATTGCCTGTTTTAAATCTAATTTAACACAGCATAGTGTTCATCTTGTAAATCAAAGAGCTCAGTACAGCAGGCTTTGCTTTAGGGCAGGATTACCTTGTGATTGACAAGCCGCTGGCTTGTTACCCTCAG